GTTTGCCAGGCCTGTGCAGGGAGTTTTTGCTGAGACCCGGCCGCAGGCTTCCGTGCTGCTCCGAGGTGCGAAGGGAACTGCACGCACCCTGTACCGAGCCCCCTCCGTTTGCAAAGTCATTACCAGCACCAGCTCTTACCAGAACTGATGGTCATGGGATGAAGTCCTGCTCCTTGAGTTTACAGCAGCAAAATGGAGCTGCATGGTGTGGCCTCAGCCTGCTCCCAGACAGGCTGGGGAGGAGGTGCCAGCATCATGCCAAATTTTACGAGCGGTGATGAACAAAGAGCAATCCTAGGTTATGTGATGGTATTGCACTGTCTTATCTTATGTGACGGTGGGTATTGCAACACGTAAGCTTTTACAGTTCACAGAAAACATAAAAAAAACCCCAAAACAAACCATGATTTATCTCAATATATTTGGGTATTTTGGTAAATATTGTGATGGTTCTTCCAATTGTTTGGCAATCTTTGTGGGATATGCTTTCTTCAAAGTTGAAGTTCATTTAAAACTTTATGAAAATAATATATTAATCACTTGACTGCTAAACATTCACTTTTTACTTGCCTTTTTTGACTTTGGCTGTGAAGCTTAGCGTGGAAGGGCTGCTTCTCTAAAGCCAAACAATCTCTCCCTATTTCTACCTTCTGGTCTGACAGTACCAGTTACGTGTCCTCACCAGAACCAAACTTGTCATGCGGGGAAAGGAAAAAAGAAAAAGTAATAGTCAAAATCCTAGACTGAAATGCCTTTGTGCAGAGGAGGGTGAAGGAAACCTCACAGACTCAGTTTTTAGTAGTCATTTTGACCCTTGTTTAGTTTGCATCTCTTTTGATACTTTCACCAAACAAGCTTTCTGATTCATTGCAATGTAACTAAAAAAGAATAACGATGGTAAAAGTAGGACTGTGGCTCCACTGCCTTGATCTAGTTACAATGTAGGTAAAAGACTAACCCGTGGATAAACACCATCCATGGTCCTCCGGTTCCTGAATTATCCTGTGATCCAGTCAGATCCTTTCCAGTAGCCGAGCTCCCCCATCCAAACTCCAACGCCCTTTCACCTGACCATGCCTGTGTCTCTTGGACCTCCGGGGTCTCCCTCTGCTCCACACTTACAGTGAAAGCTAAAGGGTAGAAGATATTTTCCAGTGCACTTGCTTAGACGTTTCTGCTTCGGAGGTTTTAGAAGTGGTAAATAGAAAGACTGGCTTCTGAAATAAAATAGCTAATAGTATACTCTTCCACGGAAGATTTTCTCCTGTGGACATAAGACTCTATTTATCCTCTCAGACTGTGCCTGCACATGTTGTGCATCTTCTTTGCTGTTTCTGGGCCCAAACTGAAAAATAGAAATTAAGCAGCCTGGCTAAAGCATTGTGTTGTTGCTATTGACAGTCTCAGACAGGTCATAGAGAAAGCTTTTTTTTTTTTTCCTGTAAAAAAGTTTGATGTATTTGTTCTAGAAGAAAAAAAGCCCTCGGCCCCCAATCTATATTTTTATAAATTATTAAGATTCTAGTCGTCAGCTACCACTGAGCACTTGTATTTTGTGTGGGTTATGTGTAGCAAGGTCTAGGTTATGGCCAGAGGTTGGATATTGCTTTCTTTTAATTCTCCCCCTCTCTTTTTCTCTTTTCACATGCAGAGAGAAATTTGAAGGACAGAAATATGTTAATGAGGGAAAACATTAATTGGTGATCTACTTAAATTACTACTAATTCTCATTTCTCACTATACAGTCCTGGTTTATTGCATTCACACAAATATATTCTTGTTTAGAAAGCAAAACTGTTAAGTGTTACCAAAGGCTATTCCTCCTACCCAAATCCAATAAGCTTTATCATTGTGCCATCTCCATTACTTCTAATAAAAATTATTGTTTAACTGAAGTCATGTTGCTACTTCTGTGTAAATCGTTTTGGCTGTTATGGAAATCCATACTCCGTCTCAGACTGCAGATTTACAACTGTGTTAACAGTTGCCTAATTTGATGTCTGTACGTGCACCATTACTTGCTGTTGGACAGCATCAGTCCTTGAAAAGGCTGTTAAAAATGTATCTAAATAATACAGGGTAATAAATCTGGGCTATAGTCTTTTGTAGTAGATCAGCTGATATGTCAACAGCTGGGGAATTAATCAAATCAGTTCAGCCAAGTGAGCCAGGTTAGCGCAAGGATTTTAAATACTTTGCTAGCCAGTGAAAACTGAGCCAGAACTGGGTTACAGTACGATCACACCAGGAGCTTCTCCAGAGTCCTGAGGATTTTGTAATAAACACAGCACGACTGAAGTACAAGTAGGGCACTTGCCTATGTCCTCAGACTGGTCGAAGCAGCATCTATACTCATAATGAACAGACACAGCCTTCTGCCGAGTGATGAGGGTATTCTGAAGGTTCAGGCAGAAATTAACTTTTCTGTTGGACATTTTATATAAATATCATAGCACTTCTTCTATGCTAAAAAACAAACCACACATTTCTGGACCAATATCTGATTTTTCCACAGCAAAAATTTATGCCTCTCGCTTTTTAAATAGGGGGATTTAATTACATTTGATTCCTTCTCAATAAACAGTTTGTGTGGGAGCACATCTCTTCCTGCAACACGCAGGCAGGCGGATACCGGCAAGTGGAGGCAGCTTCTCGGATCTTGACAAGGACAGTGGAGGAAGCACTTGGTGGCAGGACACTGGAGACGAAGGTTAAAAGGAAAAGACTAGATGGGGAAAAAAAACTTATTAAGCACATGACAAGATGGGCAAACGATGGCCAAGAGGCACCCTGGCAGTCCTGAGAAGCGGTCAGGGCCAGCTGGGAGAGACTGAAGAACAGGTCAACGCACAAACCCAGCACTCCCACCACCTCCCACCACCAGGAAAGGCTCAGCTGCTTACCAGCCGCCACATTTCTCTCCAAGGCTAATGGTACTAACAGCAGTCCTGGCTGGGGCACAGGGGTTGAATTTCCCAGCCATTTTCCAACATGGGCATGTTGAACGAACTTGCCCATCTTGAATTTTAAACAAAAGTTTCTGTCTCCTACTCCATCACTGCATAAGTTGCTCAACATATAGTTTTAATCAATACATTTGCAAAAATAATGAGAGATTTCTGGATAACTTGCAAACAGAAAGAGGCAGCTTTCTCTGCTTATTAATCTATATGTTACAAATCACTTCTAGCTGCTGTCACGAAAAATCCAGCCTGACTGATCAAAGTTCATGTCTCACACCTTTTTTGGCAACACAGGAACAAGCTATAATTTTACTTATTAAACCCAAAGTCTGTTGTAATTTTGTTATTGAGAAAGCTTTGCAGTAAATTAATCATCAGAATTACTGGGCTGCTTTGGTCTAAATCAATCTAAGGAGTACCCAGAGGCTTTTCTAAAGCTGTTTTTTTTTCAGAGCACGCTGTAGATTCAGACAACTAAGGATTTACCAAGAATATTTAAAAAAGCGTTTGTTTCCCCGTCAGAGCACAACAAACCCTGCCACATCTCTACGAGGACCTCATGCCCCAGTAGACAGCACCCATGACTTGCCTCTTCCCTTGCACCTCCATGAAGGGTTTTTGCATGGAAAACAACGAGCAGGGTGTCTTCGGCTGTGTAAGGAACCAGCATCTCCGTCAGCGCCAGGTAACGCTGCTCAGACACACCTACATCTTGCTGGAAGCCACAGAAGGAGCAGAAGCGCAGGGCCATCGCCCCCGGGGAGCTGAAAGGCCAGACCCGTGCAAACGCCAGCGCCAGCCGAGCCGCCCGCTCCCCGTTTCATGTGGCACCTAATCCAGCCCACGCCAGCCCAGGCAGCTTCACAGCCGATTTTTGCCAGCCGTGCGCTAGCGGTTTGACAGCGAAACCTGCCACATGGACATTCACATTGTCAATGCACTGGTTCCCACTGACAGGAGGAAAGATATTGCCACCTGGATGTCTCCATTGGTCGAGAGCACAAGCACTCTCTGCTTCTCCAGTTTCAAGACTCTGGACATGGCAAACTTCTTTTTTTTTTTTTTCTGCTTTTCTTTTAAATTAGCCTTATTTAATAAAGGATTTTGCTGGATTACTAAACGTAATTGCATTTAGTCTTCTATTCCATTTTGCAATGTATTGTAATGCAAGTAGTTAAATATGTAACCAAGCATTTTAAAACATGAAACCATAAGAAAAATTTTAATTGCAACAGAAAGACTCCTGCCTGCCTACCCGTTGTATTTGTTTAATGTGATTTCTCTTCCTGTAGTAGTGAAATGCCACATCCATATTTCAAATCCGAAGTATTGACAAAATCATCTGAGCACATAAAGCTGTTTTGGCAAAATAAAAGTGCCTGCCGTGCTGCAGCTACAAAAATGAAACAGCTCATCAATTTACCAAAAATCTGCCTACACACAAGGCATTCTCCAGCCTTCAGGAAACCCGATGCTTTTCTCACACAGGAGGAAATCCTTACCCTGCCCAAGTCAGTGAGAAACCTCTGCTGACTTCAATAGGGCCAACTGCTACAAGATTGACAGGGCTACCATTATGCCTTAAAATCAAGCTTATGCACAGGCATTCACAAACAGGAAGAGTAGCAGCAACAGCAGAAAGGCTCAATGCAACAGCTATAAGGGAAGTGAAAAATCCATAAAGCATATGCTGCAGTTTGAGATTAATGTGCTAGTCATGAAAAATCTAATTTTAATAGAGGGTCAAACCTTTAAATTTTTTTTTCCTTAAGAATGTCAAAATCTCAAATTTCTTCAGCTGTCACAGAGCACTGTTAGAAATGGAGACAAAATCCGCTGATTGAATTAAAGTGTTGTTTCTCAGAGATTGAACCAGTATTTATTTTGTAATTACTCCTAAATTATTAATTACCCACTTAAAAGCGTAAGCAAATCTTTGGCCTCATAGCATCTCTATAATCTTTTACACTATAAAAACAAAAGGTTTCTGACATATGTAATTACTTACCAAAATAAAGAACTTCTTTTGTGTGGCAGTTTCGTTTGTAAATGTTTTATTAAAAAAAAAAAAAATCTTGTAATGCTATTAGTCAATACATGTGTAATAATACTTAAAAGCATCACGTAGTAGTAGGTATTTTGGATTCAGGAATGTAATGGTTTTAACTAAATCATCAGAGCTCTGTTCTGCTCCAGTCTCTTCTAAACTGTCATTTTTTCCCAGAATTTAAAGAAACTCATTCTTTGTCAAGGTACGTCATCCTTAAGGCCTTGCAAACGTTTTAGTGATTGAACCAAAACAAAGAGAGAGCTCGGCTTTCTTGATCTGAAGACCACGTTGCTCTTGAGCTTAAAAAGGTGCCTGCGGTTTTCAAGCGGTTAGTGATAAATCAGCAAGAAAGAAATCAGAGGAGAAGAAGGGGCACTTGGAAATCAAAACAGTAAAGTGCACAGTTATACTGTCCGAAATTGTATTAATCTGATCCAAAGAACTTGCTGGACTGTGGATATTTAATACAATTTGGCTTGCATGGAACATACAATCACAATCGGACAGAAAGGATTTTCTTTTTCTTCCTGAAGTTATCTACAGGATTTACGGAATTCAATTTTCAAGGGTAACATACTGCAGCTCTTTGGATATTGATCTATTTCCTAAGTCCACAAGGAGATGGAGAAGGGGGGAAGGTGTGGAGCATTGCAAGGTGTCCTTGTGCCTTCTGTTTTGTTTAGATGCCAGTACTCTCCAGTTCCCCGTCCTCCAACCCTAATGCAGCGTGTGACCTAGAAATCATAAAGAGTTTCTCTTTATTTGTGTATTGTCTTTGAGTTTGCTGGGATTGCTCCCCTGTTTGTTCTCTGCTGGTAGCCTTGAGGGGGTCTGTCTTCTCAACTGGTCCCTCCTCACAGTCCTGGATTTTACTGGCTGGGGTGTTGGCAACTGACTCCAAGGAGGTGCCTGCCTCCTCCAGGTGGCTGTAGCCCTTATTGCTGCTGGAAGGCTCAGACTGGGAGCTCTGGGAGTCCACTCTGGTGATGACAGGAGGGGTTGAGGGGGGCAACCCTCCCAGATCCAGAGATCTGGAGTAGCTAGAAGATGCCTTTACCAAGAGGCTGGAGTCCAGGCCCCTGCTGACAGCCGGGGACCGAGGTGGCTCAGGGAAAAGGGGACACCTGGCATCAGGCAAGCAGCTGGTGCTCTGCCGCCTGAGAACCAGCTTGTGCCTCCTCGTCCCACAGCCCCCCTCACCGTGGCTGCTGCTGAGGTCGGTCAGGCTCAGTTCAAACTCCCCCCGTGGGATCTCCCGGGCTCCCCGCTCACCAGGGGGCCTTCGCCAGCCT